CTTACATATATGTATTCTTTTCACTCTCAATCATATATATATGCTATGAAATCCTTACTCCTTGATATTTTTGCAAAGATCCTCATGTTTTGAGAGAAACTATGGTGGAATAGCTATCAAATTTTTTTTTCTTGTCTTAGAACCCTAGTTTTCAAGAGAAATGAATTTTCTCTTGATTTATTCTTTGTCCTCGATTTCAAAATTTTAGTGCTTTGTATTGAACAATAAAATGGTATTGTGGATGATCTCTTGTTTATTTTCTTAAATTGTTCTATGAAAATACTACATGTGAAATTTGGGGATTTTGGATTTGCTTGTTATTTGAGAAATTTGTTGGGAATTGTATCTCTTGTAGATGTTTGGATGACCATGTGTGGCCATTGACCGGGTATCATAGAGTGGGTAGATGTGTTTCTTACTCCGTGCGGGTTTGAATTTTCTCTATCACTCGTAGTGGGGTTGATGCCTTCTGAGGATCAAACCATTATTCGCTCATGGGTACCAAGGATGAGGGTTAGTATACTATTCCTAGGTTGGATTCGTCACTATCAATACGTTGGTATACGCTCTTCCTAAAGTTTGATATCTTTGCAAGAATTGGATATATGTGTGTGGGTCAGGATATTCTCGATGTGTTTATTAATGCGATGTCATACATTATACCTGAGATTCAAGTTGTGGTTTGATATAAATCATTGGAAATGGTACAAGTTGTGGGTAGTGTTTGTTGTTGTGGAAATGGTTTATGATTGGGAATGGCTTATTGTTGGAAATTGGTTTTATCTCTTCTTTTAATTTATTGATATTGCTTAAACTTGAGATCAGATGAACTGTCACTATTTTCTTTCAAAAGTTATATATAATATTTGTGAAATGAGACCGACTTGTTTTATACGTTTTAAAAATCTTGTCCAAGTTTGGGAGAATTTTCCTACAGAGCTTAGTGCTCACCCCCTCCAAACAATATTTATTTTCAAATTTCGGTTTAGAGGAAGATCTCGGAGTTGACGAGCAAGTAAATTGGGAAGCTGCAGTGGATGGGCATATGGATCCAGAGGGGGATGTCTAGAATTGCTATTTTTATGTACTAGACTAGGAGTTTCATGTTGAGATAATGCTCATGTTGATACTTTCCTTATTCCGTTGCAATTGTGCCGTGGCATTCATTTTTATTTGTTGTTCTCGTGATGTAAATGGTTTTTAGATAGTAATGTCGTCCAAGGTGAATTTTGGGGTGTTACAAATTTTGGTATCAGAGCCTAGGAATTAGATCTTACATGGGTGCTGTAGGTTATGAATTACCACTAGAGAAGTAGGACTAGGTTGAATGAAATTTTTGATTTAAATGTACACAAGTCTTATGCTTAGGATTAAAGTGATAGTTAGGATGTCTTGTTCGTCAAGGAAACTAAATTGTGATTTAATGTACAGGATGGACGGTGGAAGTGGGCATGGAGGTTAAGCAAACCCACCACCACCACCACCTCCAGATGTCATGAACGGCATATATCAATGCCTACGGGAGCTAACCACTCTGGTACAACACCAGAATGGAAACAACAACCACAACGGTGGGGTTCATCCACTAGCTCATGTACCGGGCAACGGGGACAAAAATCGAAGGATGGTAGTTTTTCAAAAATCTTTACGATAACACCCACCTACTTTCCAAGGAAACTCTAACCCCTTGGATGCAGATAAAGGATTCGCCGGGTGAAGAAAATGTGTGATGGCTTGGGAGTAGCCAAGGATTTATGGATTGGCCTAGCTACATATCTACTAGAGGGCGAGACAGATCATTGGTGGGACTTAGTGAAGAGAAGGAGGAACACAGATGCTCTTACTTAGTAGGAGTTTGATCAGATCTTCCAAGACAAGTATTTTTCTGAATCAGTTAGAGACAAGATGAATGTAGATTTTCTCACTCTATAACAGGGTAGCATGACGATGATGGAGTATGAGAGGAAGTTTGATGAGCTATCCCGCTATGCTACGGAGTTCATATCTACCGAGGCTAGGAGGGTCAAACACTTTAAGTAGGGCTTAAGGCCTGCCATCAGGGAGAAGCTTGTGGCTCTCAAGATTAGGGACTACGAGGATCTGATTGATAGAGCTACACTAGTGGAGTGAGACACAGAAGACAACCAGAGGCGACAAAACTTCACGAGGGGAGGTCTGATCAGGACCGGTACTAACAGCAGTGGAGGGTAGAGAGCAGCACCTTACCGTCGCCCAGACCAGGGGTTTGGACAGAGACTTCAGACGGCCCGAGGAGTTGGAGGCGTACCAGAGAGAGCAGGCACTGACCCACGTCAATGCTTCGCATGTGGAGGTTTTGGGCACTTTAAAAATAAATGCGCATCGTTTCCGCCAAAGACCAATCAAGCAACAGGACAAGTGAATGCAAACAAGCCACCACTCCAAATGCCACTACAGTAGAGACCGTTAGGAGCTCTAGCCCCAGGCAGCACCAATCAAGGAAGAGTGTTTGCTTTGACCCAACCGGATGAAGATGTTTCCAATGCCATTGTGGAAGGTATTGTTCTTTTCTATAATTCTTGGGCCCGAATTTTATTTGATCTCGGTGCTACTTATTCATTCATACGCACTACATATGGTCTTAATTTGGGACTAGACTTTGCGAAGCTAGAACATGCCTTGAGTATTGACATGCCTACAAGATAACGGTTGCATACTAGAAGGGTGTGTAGAGGTTGTGTGCTTCGAATTGGGGAGCAAGAATTAATTATAGATTTGGGATGAACTTGTTGTCCACCTTCCATGCGGTAATGGATTATTTTTGTAAATGAATTTCATTTCAATTACCGGAGGGATAATTTTCAGTTTCATGATTGATCAAAATTCTTTTCATCCATTTTCTACTACGGGTAGTAGATTCTTGAAAGCTAAGGCAGGGAGCCAGTTGAGTTTCTTAGCTAGCTTGATGGGAGATGATCGGGATAGATCTCAACCAGATGTGGTATCGATAGTGTCGAAGTTTCCAGATATCTTCCCAGATGAACTACCAGGGTTACCCCCATAGAGAGAAATTGAGTTTACGATTAATCTTTATTCGGGAATACTTGAAATAATTGTGAGTAAAAGGAGATACTCAAATTAAGAGTAAAACCCCGTATATATAGGCAAAATATAAAAATCATAGTAAAGGTAAAAAAGGGAAAAGAAATCCTAATAAACCTAGGAAAAGAAATCCTAATAAACCTAG